GCATTCAGCCACGAGAACATTAGTGAGATCACATACTGCTGATGTTGGATGATTAGTTCTGGATCATAAATGCCTCTCCAACGCATTCCAAATGTATTGGATGGAGCTCAATCACTCAAGAGTACACAGTTCCCCAATGCTTGGAAACCTTAGGCTCATGTGTGGCTGCTCCAGAGTGTCACATTCTATTGGTAATGCCTTTCTGTGGAACAAGCTCTACAATCCAGCGTCTGGAGTCCGGCACAGTTTGGTGATTCCTCTGCTCAAACACACCTGATTTAGTGAGTGTGTTTGAACTGTGCTGGACACCAGCCGATAAGGACTGGTGTTCGAGACCCCTGCTCTATAAGCTAAAGTCAGTCATGGGTGCACCTTAAAGTAGCTGTATTAGATGGATCGTCTGGGTACTCAGCGTTTATTCTGAAAACCCTATTCTAGACTATTCACACAGGACAAAGGATGTAAAATTACTATGGCAACCAACACAACTTGCATAATTCAATACACTAGATAGAACAGTATTAATAGTATTCATAAGAAATTCCAGGAAAAAATGAATGATCTATGTGAATTCCATAGAAAAGCAGCTCTATTCTACAAAAAAATTCTCACATCAGAGCTCCTTACTTGGCCATTCAATTCTCTTTCAAAACACAAGCCTTGACACCTGTAGCAGAATCTAAGGCAAAGGCCTTCAAATGAAACCTGGTCATCTGTTCTAAACATGCATAGGTGCTAGTGGTGCTGATCGCTAAATGGTTTGCTCTCACCATAATCAGTCGACGGATACCATTATTCCATGATTAAAGGCTGTGTAGTTCAAACACATATCTGTCTGACAGCTATGAAAGCTCAGGGCTCCAAACACACAGCCATAAATTCTGCTCTATTTGAAAGAGTCGCTCTGGCATGCTTCGATGATTAATGAAGAACAACAAACCATTTTGAGTAATCAGGAAAAAAGAACCAGGGGAAAAAAAGGACGAAGGGAAGGATTCAGAGGAAGAATAGATGAGCCAGGGTGCCAAACAGTGCCCGCAATAGTTTTCATGTGTGCCATTTCTCACATGTTGGGAGATAAGGCCAGACACTGATTTTCTGTCTTGGTCTCTTATCACAGGGCAGTTTCAGGGTCGCCTGCTATTAGCTGTTTTTACAAGGTTGAGCTTAACTGATTTTACACTGGCTTGAATGAGATGGTGCTATTTTTGACTGGGAGTGGTTCAAAGCGCGTCACTACTGATTATGATTTATAGTTTCCTGTACGACATTTATCAGCCTGTATGGAAAACACCACTTCAGATGAAAAATATATGGAAATTAGTAATAGCAGCTCATTACATGCCAGCTGAAACTGCAGCATCATGCAATTTATCTATTATGATCTATTAGGTTATTTTTTTTATCTAGCTATTTATTTTCTTTCTAATCGTTCATGCTTTAGGTTATTAGGCCACACTGCAGTCTGAAGAAGTCTTCCCTCTACTGAACACAAGGGCGTAACTTTGGGCTGAAAATTGGAGGGGTTGAACAGGACCTTCTTGGGGGGTGGGGGTGAGGCACATGAGGTTGGAGGAGTTAGAGGGGTTAAATAAAAGAACCTCCTCACAAATGATATAAGAGCAAATAGTCAGAAGACCAACTGTGGTCAGTTATTTTTATATACACACATATATATATATATATATATATCGTTGTTGGAAGAAAACCTTGTATCTCCAAAATGGTAACTTTACAGTAAAAGGAAAAAACACTTTGCTTTTAATGTAAGTCAATGGAACCAGAGTTTTTTCCAAGACATTTTGGGTCATTTCATTTGGTCCATTCTTCATTAAAGCTGTTCTTATCCCATGTCTGACAGCCTCTTGCATCACCCACCTTGCTTTCTTTGATCCCTAAAATCACCCTTGCTGCTTTAATACCTGAAAGCATATCATGTTGGCTATTAGCAAGTGGATCATAGGAGCAATGTTATATAGATAAGCTAAGATAATAATGTTAAGTAACTCTCAGTTACTCAGAAATACTTACTGTTCCCTCAAAACAAAACCTAATATCCTGCCATTTGTATCAGTTCTAATTGCTCTATTAACATTTAGCATATCAGTATAAGTAATAGTGACACATTTTCATGGTAATGTTTATTATATTTATGTCCAACAACTCAGTTTAGTACAACAATCAAAAATGCCACAGAATGTGTTTTGGAATGGTTTGCAAGTGTTGCGTCAATTTTGCAATTCAAATTTCAAAGGTATTAGAATTTTTTAATGGAATGCAAATTACATACTTTAATCCAAAATCAGATTAGGATTTTTTGCTGTATTTTTACAAATCTGTAATCCCATGTGACCAAAAGACTGAATTTTCATATGAAGTGATAAAACCTCTCTTGTGATGTCAGGGAAGCTCAGAGGCTCAGAGGACACATAGACAAAAAGAAAGTTAAAATGTCAGGACATTAATGTATTACTATTGGATTAATATATTATTTGTGCTGTTGCCGCTTTTGTTCTTTGTTAATTTTAGTACATTAAAAACTGTTGTGATAAATGAATGACGCAAATAATTCGTAGTTACTGGCAAAACCCACTCACATCATTTATTTCCTATTTCGTAAGTTACAGAGCAAAAGAACTTCGGTTGTTTTTTTCTGATTAAACCCTTACATTCCCAGACTAAGGCTTATTATTCAGTAATTACATAGAAACAATACAGACTCACTGAGTAATAATTATAGAGGTGAAGGATGGAAGCCCTGAACCTGCCGGCAGCTCCCAGGCATGTAAAAAGTGAAAAAACAAACTGAATGTTTCTAAATTAGTTTCGAATTTAAATTTATATTCAAGTTATATATTATGTCTTTACATTTCAGGATGTCCAGATCATCTGCTTTACTTTAATAAACAGCTTATTCACCTGTCATGACTGTACACAGAGATAGAGCAGGTCAGGAAGCACAACCTAAATGGCTTGGATCATTGAAACAACACTTCAGCTTCCCAAGGGAATAACAGTGAAAGGTCAGAAGTTTGAGGTCAAAGAATGGCTCATGAGAAGGACGAGAGTACATGCTTTCTCTGATTTTGCACCATCTGTTTTTCCCTTTTTTCCCACTTGTGTGCATTCACACACACACACACACACACACACACACACACACACACACACGTGTACGTGCACACAGAACAGGTTGTGGTCCAGCTGGTCCGCGATGGGGCTGCACAACAGTTTTAGACTCACATGGATCATGTCTCACCAAAGAGTGTGAAGACATTTTATTACCCCCGCCGTCTCTATCTCTCACTCTCTCTCTCTCTCTCTTTCTTCCTCTCGCAGTCACTCTTCCTCCCGTCTGTTTGTCTATATCTACCCACCTCATCTGTCTCTCTCTCTCTCTCTCTTTTGTTTCCCTCTATATATTTGCACATTTTCTTTTTCTTCTTCCTCTCTCCCTCTCTTTCTTCTTCTCGCTGTTCACTTCTCTCTACTTCCTCTCTCTGTACTTCTCTCTCTTTTTCTCTCTTTCAAGTTTGACTCTCTCTCTCTCTTCGTTTTGTGTTTCTCTCTATATATTTGCCACCTTCTTTCTCTCTTTCTCTCTGTCTCCTCTGTCTATATTTTGCTCTTTCTTCCTCTCTCTACCTCTCTTTTTCCTCTCTCTCTTTCTTCCTCTGTTTCTTTTACTCTCTACTTCTTTCTCTTTCTCTATCTCTCCCATCTCTCTTTCTCTGTCTTTTTTGTGTTTCTCTCTTTCTGTCTGTCTCTGCTTCTCCTATGTCTCTTAGACTCTTTTATCTTTCTTGCTCTCTCTCTACTTCTCCCCATCTCTGTCTCTGTTCTCTTTGTCTCTGTATTTCTCTCTATATTCTCCTCCTCTGTCTCTTTCTCTCTCCCTCTCTTTCTTCTTCTCTCTGTCCACTTCTCTCTTCTCTCTCTCTCTCTCTCTCTCTCTCTCTCTCTCTCAGTTTTAAAAATCATAGTTTAAATAGTTAGGTTTCCCTCAAGGCCCGGTCGCCTTGGGCTTCTGCTGAGACCATGGAGCAATGAACAGTACATCTGAAGACCTCAGAGACCTGGAAGACAAGTAAAGTTGGAGCAACTCTGTGATTTAAGAGGCTTGTCTATATATTGGTACTGTGATATTCTCAGTATAACTTAGTAACAGATCAAAAAGAAAATGAATAGGATTGCCCTCCCCTACACATTTTTTAAAAAGATGATTCTTAAAGGTTTTGTTAGTTCAGGCAATGAAACAAGTTAATGCTTAAATGGCTCATTGGTATAAACAATGAAATGTGGAATTCACACAGTCATGGTTCACACAGATTGTCATTTTCAGTTGAAGGAAATGAATGTGCAACACACCATTTCAATTTATTGATTTTACAGGGTCAGGTGGTCACTGTGTGCCATAATGTTTATTGTCTTTCTATTACTCTTTAGTTACAGAGGGTTACATAGGCTGCACAAGCCCTACCCACATGTGAATATGGTTCTGTCTATAAAAAGGATTCTTCTATTTTTACAAGCTTAACATCGTAACAACAGAAGAGCCCTTGTCAGTGCTATATAGAACCATATACAACCCCGCTGAAAAAACCCATAGAAACCAATGAATGTTTCTGTTGGTTCCTCGTGGTTTTGTAATATGTTTTGGCTTTTTTAATGGGTTGATATCACAGTGTAAAGGATCCTAATGGTTTAACAGGTGACCAATGGTTAATTTGATGGTTTTCTAAAGATGTTCTACAGGACTCTATTGGAAACTATCAGGCCAATTCCCACTAGAAAGCTAAATGGTTTCTTAGCAGGGAACACATTGTTCATCAGTCAGAGGAACCATTTCACCAAGCAAAGAACCATTTAGGAATGAAATGGTTCTAAACAGAACTACTAAAGAACCCTTGAAGAACCGTCTTTTTAAGTGTGTGCTGAACTGCACGCGGGAGCAAGGCAGGCTACTGCGCATGTGCGTTTTTCTAATCAGCGCACGCGGGCAGCAGCGCGGACGAGGAGGCTCCCGACGGTTACAGAGAAAGAGCACCAGGGCAGCGTTCAGCAACGCCTCCCCATGATTTCTGACAGCTCTCCTCATCCTCCAGCTCTCTCTCTCCCTCTCTCCATCTCTCACATACTCGACTCGTCTGCTATAAAACTCCACTTGTTCGCTGGAGGGGGGTTAGAATTCCTCTCTCACGCTGGCAAAACAATGAGGACAACAAACAGAGACGAGAAGTGATTTCTCCCTTCCACTGACTGAACTGCTACCTTTCCCTTCCTTTCTTTGGACTGAGAAATGATAACGGAGTTGGTGTGCAGTGCTGTGGCTCTGGTCCTCTACGTGAACACCCTGGACGCGGATTTCTGCTACGATGACAGGTAGCTAGCTAACCCACATCCTCCATCACTTTTCTGTCGTACTTGTCATTGTCACATTAGTGTCAGCAAGACGAAGACCGTGGGAGACGGAGAGTGACGAACCCAGCGGCTGTGTAAAAGGTGTACAAGTACTGTTAGCCTGTTTGCTTCACTGCCGTATCTGGCTTTGTGGCTTGTCTGACTGTTCTCAGTTTTAACGGTCGCCTTAGCTCCACAGCTGAATGCTTTTGGGGACGTTTTGGTAATTTGACCAACAAGTGTGCCTACTTATGTCGATGTTTTGCTATTGAAACGGCTTGAAGATGCTGAAACTGACTTTTCGAATTTTCCGTTCCACCTTAAATGGTGCGGCCGTTACAGTACAGTGGTTACTTACGCCAGAACGTGTCTGCTGCAGCATTTAAGGTGGAACGGAAAATTCGATTAAGACGCCAACTTCAGCTTCGTATAAGTTTACTAATGCACTTAGAAACCCTATATTGTGCTGTTATTTCTTTTGACTGTTAACGGAAATCTTCCCAAATGGAGGTATCGAGTCGATGTTCATTGTGGGTTGTTGTTGTTGTGGTTCATGACTAACGGCTGTGAGCACTTCGACAAGAGGCTTTACAGACAGTGCAGAGAGGAGGCTGCTGTGCTGCCACACTGCACTCACTGTTAGGAAGTTTCTGTAGCTAATAAACCCGCACATATGCAGTGGGATTGTCTGCGGTATGTCTTATGGTAGTCATTAAAAATTATTTGTGCTCGGAGAAGGTGGCGTGGCTCTGCACCACCCCCCGGAGCGTCTGTTTTGAGGTTCATTGGGAAGAAACGAACCACGAAACGGCGTAGTCACCGGTCAGGAAACTGACCAGCTTTATAGAAGACTAGATCCAGCTGTTTTAAATTCTGTTTGAAGATTTATCTGTAGGCTCTGAGGTAAAGCCCTGCTGAATACAAAATGCATTCTGTTACTATTAAACCCCGTCCGGTTCTGTATCAGTGTTATATTTCTGCCTCCATTTCCTCGACCGTAATGCAGTTTGTGAAGTTTGAACTAACTTATCTCTTTCTTTCTTTCTTTCTCTGAGACATCTATGTTCGCAAGAGCTCTTAGACCTGTGACTAGTATAGACTACAATACTTCTAATAATAGGTTAGTGTAGAATATAGTAGACTTTTAAAGATATTTTCTAGAATATAATAGACTTTTTAGCACTGATATGGGAATTCTGCCTGGATTAGCATTACAGAGAAATGCAGCTTTATGACTCTACATCAGCCCCAAAAATATCAAAGCCAAAATTATTTATTTTTCAGATATTTTTTTTTTCCAAAACAGCAGTCTGTTTGAATTAGAGATGGCACAGTACCACTTTTTCTTTGCCAATATTGATAATGATACTGAAAACTTGAGCACCTGCCGATACAGATTCAGTATTTTTCTTTAAAATGAACTCATTTTCAGTGAGACGCTTCATTTAAGATGATCATCTAAAAGTAGTCTAACTACTTAAACACTCTACTACCCCACAGGTAGAAATGCACAGCTAATAACATGACAACACACAGTATGAGGCTAGATTTTTAACAAATCCATTGTAAAATCCATTCTTTCTCTTTCTGATATCCTGTCCAGCATTTTTTGCTGACATCGGGCTGGTACCAATACCAGGTATGAGGTCAGTGCCATCTCTAGTTAAATCTTGCTGGTCTTAGGCACGTATTGAACGTAAGCCCATAAAATATATCTTTGAAATATAGGTCATGCAACTCTCTAAGCTGAAACTGAGCACTAAGGTTGATGGTAGTGTTACTAGTAGTCTCTCTTCATGAGTGAATTGAGTCAAGAGAGACACTTCAGAAAGGTGGTTAGACTCTCTCTTATATTCTGTCCTCTGGTGTTGAATTAGAGCTGGTGACCTTTAACTTTTGAATCAGACCCAGTGCTGATTGGTCTATGAGCCTGTGTATGTATGTGTGCACTGATGTGTAGCCTGTGCACCCGGCCAGCATATCCCATCAGTGAATTGGCACCTGAGAGTCATTCATCAAATCAGTCTTTTCTTTAAAGGTCAACAGTGTTCTGCCCTCTGCCTCGTCCCCGGGGCAGTGTGTGTCTGTGCGTGTGAGTGTGTGACTGTGTAGCACAGGCTGCAGTCATGATGAGTGAGCGTATTGAGTGGTTTCCAGTGGGTGGAAGCAGTCCTCCTGGGTCCGTATTTTTGCCCCTGCCTGTGGTTGTGCACCGGCCTTCCCTACACTGTGTGGTTCATTTGAAGTCAATTGAAGTGCAGGGGCTTCATTACTGTGGGATACTTTGCTGTGTCTGTTTTCTTAATCACGTCAAGTGTTTTTCCTGGGAACAGCACGGGTGTTCATTTATACTCTGTTAGCCAATTGTAATATCAATAAAAAGTTGAAAAGGCATTAATATCGCATGCCGTATTTTCATGCATGAATGCTGTTTCCATGAGTCCAGCTCTTAGCCCCTAAATTAAGGCACCTTTCGCATGTCCTGCTTTTGCCCTCAAGTTGACTTTCACCAAGTTTTTTTGCGACTAGTTGTCAGAACCGACATATGATCTCAAATCAGTAGGCCACACCAGATGCTGACACTCACCATTTGCGGTTGGTTTTATGAGGAAACTGGTCAGTCAGTGGATTGGTGGAGCAATGATGGCTCATGATTGGTGTCTCTGACGGATTAACTGCTGCGGCTGTAGCTCTGGGTACTGTGTGACATCACTGAGAGAATTTCCTTCATAAGACTGAGCAGAAACAGACATGATGAGGTGAACTTTCACAAGAGCAAAATGCTAGAAGGATATGCTCGCCCTTTTTTGTACCTTGGTGTCAGATGTCAGAGAGCATGTGTAACCCATCATGCCATGCCCTCAGAACATGTGGCCCTAGCATAATGGACCTCAGGGGAAAAAGATTCCCCTCTTTTGTGGAAAACAAGACAGAAACAAGGCACCAATTTGCTCCGATACAAATAGCTGAGGTTAACTTCTGTGACTCCCACTTTTCCTACACAGTCTTTTGATGTTTTTATGCTTCTGATTTATCATCTGCACTAGATTTTGGCTTTCAGTCAGCTGGTATGTTATGCATTAGAGATGATACACAAATTTGGCAATACAGTCGTATTGTAATTTTTGCACCATGTTACGGTGCATTATTGATACAGAATAAAAAAAACATAACAACATTCTTATTTATTTATTCATTTATTATACCTATTGCCAAAACAGAGCCACAGTACATGGTGAAAGCATAATTAATAGGGATGCACAATGATATTGTAATCATATTAATATCTACAGATAATTGCTTAAAATAATTATCTGTATCAGACAGATGTTTAAATTTGGCTGATGTTTCAAACCGATATTACTAAAACATTGATTGTACTCTGGAAGACATTTAGGTGACACTGGGCCACTGCAATAAAATCTCTCTATTTTATGCTTTTTATGCATTTTTAATTTTTTACAAAGAAATGTTTTGCATTTTTACACTTTATAAATGTTTATCAGCATCGACAGACATGTACATGAAAAATACTGGACACTGGCGTTGGCCCAGAATTCCCACGTTGGTGCATTCCTAACAATTAAAGTGCCCATATCCTATTATATTTCTCTCTCATGTCTATTTATAATGTTAGTGTTGTTTTATGTACCAAAAACAGTCATAATATATTTTTACATAACCATTTTCCAACCTCTTTTCCAACCTTTTGTGCATTATTTGAGCTAAATACTACAAACTATTTATGAGATTTATGTCAGATTTTACCAGTAATTTCAAATATGTTTTTTTGAAACATTAATTTGTCTTTCAGTTTTCATTTTTTATGTCTGTACCCATTTGAGGTAGAAGGTTCTTGTATAACTGGAAAAAACTGTCCAGTGGCATTGTCAAGATGTCAGTGCATAGGTCCACAAAAAAATAAATACAGAAGAAAAAATCTAGATTATAATGCAACATGAATGAATGAATAAATGAATAAAAAGTAGCTGTGATATGAATTGTTTCTAATGGTAAAACAATTCATATTTATGTCAGTGTGACCGCTGTTGTTTTTATTGAATAAAAGGAAAAAACTTTATTTGTTGCATGGTGCATATTGATCCCCTTATAAAAAATGAATGTGAATATGCGTATCGTAACACCTCTATTATGCAAAGACATATGGCTCATCTGTGGATGGTGTGTGTGTGTGTGTGTGTGTGTGTGTGTGTGTGGGCGAGTGGGTGTGGAGGTTATCTCTTGATTGATGGCCGGTGTCAGAGAGCACGCTCCTTTCCACACATGCTGTCACCTCTGTGCACCACAGCAGTCTAATTGTGTAAATGTGACTTGTAGCACTGATTAATATGCTGATTGATTGGGATGAAAGTGATATATATTTATTCAGGGAAGCACATGTTAATTTATTTTCTCTCAGGAAGAATATTGTAAAATAATGGTGTCTTATACAGCTCAGTGTCTTTCAGTAGAACATATTTCATAAGCAGAGCTGTGCACAAGCCAAGTGTGACACAATTTACAAGGATATCAAGGAAGAAACATTAAAGCAGAAAACCTTTTTAAAATACATTTATGGTGGCGAGCTACATGCATGGCGTCGTAAGGCAATTTTTTTTTTCAATTTTGCCATTATTTTGCCATTATCCACATTAGATATAAAAATTCAGATAGTAATAAAATGGTTATATTTGCACTGTAGATATTGTGACCCCTAGTTCCTGTCACCACCACTGTATGCAAATGAATGATTTCACATCTTAACGCTCTGAATGACTTTGTTAACATCTGAACAACTAAAAAATGCAGAAAACATTTATAGAATTCCTCTTCGATAAGCGTTGTCACATAAAGCAGCACATTTGAGACATGACACATGCTGAATATTTCCAGATCCTTCTCTTCCACTCTCTTCTACTACCAGGTTATGTTTATGAGAACAGTGAGATTCTACTGACTAAACTCATAATTACTCCCAATCC